AGGAGGAGGAGGAGGAGGAGGAAGAGAAGAGGAGGAGGAAGAGGCGGAGAGGCGCGGAAGCCCGGATGCCACTCACGGATGTCGTCGCTGCTGTGGACGGCGTTGGCGAGCAGCTGCGCGTCCTCCCCGGCGGCCTCCCTGTCCTCCCGCACGCTGCCGTGGCGCTTCAGCTGCAGCAGCAGGTCGATGAAGTCGTGGCGCTGGACGCCCTCCTCCTCGCGGAGCCGCACCATCTCGCGCACGGCGCGCGTGAAGAAGTCGGTGACCCGCCGGCCCTCGAAGGAGAGGCCCAGCGCGCGCGCCAGCGGCGGGAAGAAGAGCAGCGTGAGGCGACGCGCCACGTTGGCGGCCGACGGTTCGAACACCGCGCGCCCCACGCGCCGGAACTCGCTGTCGGGGTCGTCCATCGCGTGCATTTGCAGCCCCATGGCGCACGAGCCGATCACGTCCGTCGTGAACTGCGCCAGCATCTGGGCGAGCAAAGTGTGCGCATGAAAGGGCGGCTTCGGTGGTGTAACAGCTAGCGAACTGCCATACCCAAGTTCCAGGATCCAAATTCGATCAGAACAGTGGATTTGTGAAAGCAAAAAGTCCTTTGTACGCCTTCCTTTTGGGGGGCAGTAAATCCGGCTGTCCCATGTTGTAGATTTACTACGTGTAAAGTATAAACTCCAAAAGAAGCCTTTGAGCAAAATTGAAACTTTTGTTTTGCCACTTGAGAACCTTCTTTCTCCGCAAGATGATGAAAGGAACGTAGCAAAAGGTGCGTGGTGGCTTGAGTCTCGCCACGAAGAATAAAGCATCATTGAATTGAATTGAATTGAGAGAGGAGTATTCATCTATGTAGGGTGGGTCGTTCAGAGATTTTCTGAAATGAATGTACTGGAAGCGGTAAGTTCTTTAACGAACGCACATACTGAAATTGCGAAAAGATGCGTGTCTAGTCATAAATACTTGATTTGCAATGCAGAAATTGTAATTTTAGTTCTTGAAGTGCCATTTAATGGTTTTTAGAAGCCTTTCGGGTACTGATACCATAAACAAACATCAAATGACACGATAGCGAAAATGATGAGTGAATTATAATGAAAACAAAGAAGGAGACACGGCCAAAAGGAAGAACAAATGGCAACCTACCGAGAACTCATTTTATTTTATACAAATTCTACGATTGGCCAGGGATTGAGTCTGATCTACAGGGTTTAAAGACGAATACACAAGACATTTGGCTATGTTTCCCCACTTTAATTCATCGTTTACTGATAAGATTGCTTTGTATAGTTAGCGCGTTTTTGCATTACATTTTGAAGATTTAATACATAAGCAAGGCGATGTGATTCAAATAAAAGGCTTGAAAAGGTTACAAATTAAGACATCAGACATAGCAAGACTCCCCCTATTCCTAAATGTTAATATCTCGATATTGAATTGAATTGAGGCCTTATTTTACGTGGCGAGACTCAGGCCATGAGGTCTGCTCCTCCATTTGACCAGGCAATTTCGCTACGCTACTTTCACCAACTAGCGGAGAAAGGATGTAATTCTTGGGCGACAAACTTGAAACGTTTGGTGAAACTGTGGCTTATCCTCTTACTACAAACATCTTGTTCACATTTTAAATGTCTTGAGACAGATACAAAGGACCAATTTCGAGACACTATTAACGTATACGAATAACGTGGGGCTTACTGCGCATTCTGTGTCGTATCTTGTTACTGTCACAAACTCTTCAACCACGAATACTGAAACGTACTGTTATTTTTATGTGGAGATATTGAATGACAAAGTTTTTTGCTTGAAGAAGAGCTCTATTTATTTAAATCTTAGAAATGTTAGAGTCGTCTTTGCTGTCGTAAAAAACGTTAATTATTCAATATCCTCTCAAGAAAACAACAGTAGGTTACAAATTAGTGAGATCAAATGTGTAAATCAATTTTTCAATGATACTTCGCTTACTCATGCGATTTATGTTAGAAAGTTGTTCTAGTTATCCATTACCTTTTCACAAGTTTACAAAGATACAAGTTTCCAGTTGATGAAATGACGACTGCTTTCGATAGATGGATTGCAGCAAAATGAAAACCAACAAAATGAAATATTAAATAAACAACGTCAAATAACTGTTTATTTTATAAATTTTAAGATATTAATACATTGGGTGTTAATAATATAAAATCATTTAGGATGCGGAAGTGACATACATCTTAGGCCCTCTAGCTTTCGTTTAATACCCAAATAGAAAAAAATTGGGTTTGAAAATTTCGATTTTAGTGAAAATGGGATTTATCTTGTTTCTATATATTGTTTACCCCTCATTTATGACAGTCTTGAGACAACAATAAGATGAAGCTTGCGTCGATGAAAATCGAGATACTAACATTTACGAATCGCAAACTTTGTTTGGGAAATATCGTGTGTGGTGAAGGTGGTGTTAATTTTGGCGCTTACTGAGGCTATTTACGCTTGTTGTGACAAGTGAGGCTTATGCTAATGTCGCAAGCCCTTCAAAGACAGGTAAGAGTAGAACGGCGCGAGGCGAGAGTGGGGCGGGCGGTGGCGTGGCTTGTTCGTGGCGTGGCGTGGCGTGGCGTGGCAGAGAGTGCGGACGGCGCGAGGCGAGAGTGGGGCGGGCGGTGGCGTGGCTTGGTTCGTGGCGTCGGGTGGCGTGGGTGGCAGAGAGTGCGCGACGGCGCGGGACGAAGAGGGACGGAGCGGGACGCGAGCGGGACGAGCGGGGACGGGAAGGGCATGGACGTGTCCCGTGCGTGGCGATGTGCGGGCGGTGTCGGGGGCGTGTTCGTGGCGTGTCGCTGCGTGTCGTGGCCGTGTCGTGCGTGTGTGGCGTGTCGTGGCGTGTCGTGGCGTGGTCGTGGGTGTCCGTGCGTGTCGTGGCGTGGGGGGCGTGGCGGGGGCGTGGCGCGGGGCGTGGGCGGGGGGTGCGGGCGTGGGCGGGCGTGCGGGTGCGTGGAGGGCGTGGCGTGGGCGGGGCGTGGCGGGGGCGTGCGGGGCGTGGCGGGCGTGGCGGGGCGTGGGGGCGTTGGCGTGGCGTGGGTGGGGGGGGCGGGCGGGGCGTGGCGGGGCGGGGCGTGGCGGGGCGTGGCGGGGCGGGGCGTGGCGGGGCATGGGGGGCGGGGGTGGGGAGTTGCCAGGACGGGTGGGGGAAGGGGCGTGGCGGGGCCGGTGCCGGGCGGCTTTGCGTGGGTGGCTCACCTCGCGCATCTCCACGGCGTCGCCGCGCGCGGCGGGCGCGTCGAGGTGGCGGGAGAGCGCGTGTCCGCAGTCGCTCATCAGCTGGAACATGAGGCGCATCTTGCCCGAGGTGAAGGCCGGCGTCATTTTGGCTCGCAGCGCGCGCCAGCGCCGGCCCTTCAGGTTGAACACGTGGGCCGACAGCGGCATCGCCTCCTCGTCCACGGGGAAGCCTCGGTCGTGGAACGAGTCGAAGTCCTTCACCATCACCGTCTTGATCAGATCGAGGTCGCGCACAAGCAGGTACGGCTGCCGCATGCGGTAGCCGCCGACGAACCTGCAGCGGACGGCTTTATCTCACCGGCTGAGATGGCTTAGCGAAGCCTCTTTGGCTGGGAGGAATCAGGGTTCGAGTCCCGACGGTGGCGAGGTTTCGGCACTGACTATAAGTAGGTCAAATACAGTCACTGAAAGGAGGAGAATTCTGGGGAAGGCTACTCTAATTGGCGAATTGGTGTTCTTTTCATATCAACCCGCGGTCAAATCCCTTAATAAATGGGTCACGATGTGCACGTGATCTTTCCTTTCTCTTCCCTTTCCTATTCTCTCCCCTTACACACATACGATATAGCTGGGGTAGTGTCCTGCTGGAGGAAGATATTTGGTAAGAAAACCCCCCGCAAACGTGTAAGTTGGGGCCGGATCTCTTCATTCATCAGGTGAAGATTACCACTTATTATAGCTCCAGGAACGGGAAGAGTTATCTATGTAACAGTTGATACGACCGAAAACGCTCTTCACATCATGTTACTCACGTGCTACAATTTTGAAGAACACGCTTTCCCCTTCTACTCTTTCTTTTCCATTATTCGTTCCATTGTTTTGTTTTTATACAGAAGATATATTTAGTGCCTGCGAGGAATTTAAAGCAGAATGCAGCAAGGAAAAGTGAAGAAAAATATGATGGGGAGGGTGCCATTGATTAATGGGCTAAGAGTTCTTATACGAATTTTCAGTCATTTTAAGAATGTGTACTAGAATGACATTATGTATTTGTATTATGACTGAGTACATGATATCAAGGACTTGCTGTTTTAAGGACCGTCAACATTGTTTGAAGGATTGGTCGTCTGGAATGGTTACACTGATCCTTCATTAGAAGACTAATAATATATTTATTCATTGTCAATAACTGTTTTAATTTCCTACGTTTTCAGAGATAAGAGTATGAATGAGAAGTATTTAGTTAACTCCGAAAATGTCTATTATCGGAAACGTACATAGAAAAAATTTCTTTTTCAATACTGAAACTTTTCCTAATGTGCAATTTCTCTGCAGATACACATCGTTATGACATAATTCAAGATTAATTCAAACTCTACACGTCGTGACATTTGAGATAAAATACTTTCGTTATTTAAAATTCCAATTTATATCTTTTTTATTATTGCATTTTACACCAACTATTGATAAATTATTTAAAAAATTAGTCCATTTTACGTCAACCGAAATGTAGGCTAGATTTTCTTAGTTTTCAAGAAAGTCAGTCTGCGTATTTACATGATAATGCTCATTGAATAGTTTTCTAAGCTTTTCTGAATCACACAAAATAATTCTAATTTCACAAAGAAAAAATGATCTAGTCTTTAAGCCGGAGAATAAACACTTTTCTCAAATTAATTAGGAAACAACGTCATCAACACAACAATTTTTTTATACTTTTATAAAATTTATTAAAATCATTACTTCAATTGAAAATAATATACTCCTCGTCGAAGTTCAAGGGTTACATTAATTTAACTGCTAAGTGTCAAGATATATTCGTAATACGTGCATTTTTCTTCAAATCATTTCAAAACCTTTGATTTGTATCAAACGAATCACATTTTTTGTGTCCTTTACTTTTTTGACTAAACGAAAGGATAATTTAATCCGTAGTTCAATGATTGCCCAACATCCTCTGTTCTGATGTGGAGACGTGAGCACACGAACCTGGTTCGTCGACCTATATTGGGTTGCTCAAGGCTGCACTACGCAATCAGAGATAAAATTACCGACGAATAGCAGGGCAAGAGCCACGCCCTGATGATTATAGTAATTCCGCGACCTTGAAGAAGGCAATGGTTCATTTCTCAGAGGAATCTCCCAACATCTAAAGATCCTTTGCAAAGAAGCGACATACTTGCTGTAGGGAAACATATTAGACGCTGTAACAAGTAAACAATTATGAATTATTTAACATGTATCGGTTTGCGTCAATTAAATGAAAATTGGATATCAGGGGAAACAAGAAAACTGCTATAGACATACATTTGTAATTCATTATCGTAAATGGACAGTATCATACGCTGAAAAAATAGTGTTGGTTTTTACAAGTGAAATCTTTAGGTGGACTTACTTTTATTTCTTATGTAAGTTTACATAATGAGGGTGTATTTTAGCTGCTTTTAAAACATTTTCGGTTTTATGTCGAATACATATGCGGAGAGGAAGAAAGTTGGCTGCATGAAGAAAACGTTGCTTGCGTTCTGAATGAATGGAAAGACAAATGGCGGTGATAAAGAGTAATATATGTACTAACATCTTATGCAAACGAGATTCATATTTATATCTATACTAATATATTGAAGTAAATCCAAAGTTTTCTTATAATATTTCCAATTGTATAATATATTACTGCCCCACGTTGGGCATACCATGTAAGTAAATCAAGAGCTCTTCCCAATAATATTAACAATTTTCACAAGATTTTTACTGTTTCGTGTTGGGCCTCATACTGAAGTGAATCAAAATTTATCTTAAGCATAATTATTAAAATTCCACAATATTTTTACTGTATTTCTCTACAATTAATTTTCCCTGATTTACTTATTTTGGCCGGCTTTGGTCACGCTATTGTAATTAACTCACAAATTACTCTTTTATACATCAATTTCTCTCTCTTTATAATGAATGGAGTGGCTAGATATTGTGTCCATTTAATTTTTGGGAGTAATCGTACTTACGCTTTCTCAGGGCACTGTTCTTTTCTTCGTGGGCCTGAAAATACTGCTGATACGAGTTTCGGTCAGTAAATAATTTAATTATCGTTAGGTAATATTTGTTACTACTGGTACAGATAAATTAAACAATTTGAAAATTTTGTTTATGAATTTCCAGCGCCATTAAGAATCAGTTGTCATAATTATGTTTTTCAATTTCTAATTACTTTTAGTGATAAAAATATTTCATCATATTTCTCTAATTGTTAATTTTGATGGCCATCGACTCTTCTAAAATTAATCATCATAACAATTCTTTCTCAATCTTAAAATTATATCTAAACATAACTTGGTCAGCAACTATAGACCTCAAACTTCTTTTGTCCCTTATCAACAGTGTCTTAAATGAATTTTTTTAGTTTCGGAAAAAATCTCAAATGGTTCAAAATTTACTTCTTCCAATTAATTTTTTTCCACAAATATTAATATATATTTACAAAATATTTAATTTTCTGGACATTATTCGCCTAGCATTGCATCACAGATTAAAAGTGCATCAACGTGCAATAGTTTAGACGCGCGCTACCGGAAGATGACGGAAATCTACGATTGAGTTCATCAATGCACAGAATTGCGTATAGGAGAAGGTGTCTTAAATGATTTTTTTTAGTTTCGGAAAAAATCTCAAATGGTTCAAAATTTACTTCTTCCAATTAATTTTTTTTGACATCTTATAATCTCAATGTATCAGTTTCATTTGTGTCATGGTGCAATTTCTTATATTTCGCAAGTTATTTGACATTAAAGTTTTGTTTACAAATGCCAAAAATTCCACAATGTATTATGCCTTGTCTCATTATAAAGACACAAGGGCGTTGCGTTACTGCGAGATAATCTCTGAATGTACTGGACCAATACCAATGAAACTTTTATTCTAACTTTCTTTGAAGGACGAGAGTACTTTAGGCTATGATTTACAACCACAAATATTAATATATATTTACAAAATATTTAATTTTCTGGACATTATTCGCCTAGCATTGCATCACAGATTAAAAGTGCATCAACGTGCAATAGTTTAGACGCGCGCTACCGGAAGATGACGGAAATCTACGATTGAGTTCATCAATGCACAGAATTGCGTATAGGAGAATACTGTTTGTTTATATCAACTGTCAATTGATACAAATGATTCAGAGTTTTTTGGTAACTTGGATATTGATTTTAATTGCGTATAAGCGTGAATGTATTAAGTGTACCAGATAAATGCAATGATTCGAAGAAATTTTCTGTTGAATGTCCTTAATATTGTCGTAAAAAGATATGAATACCCCCATGTTTAGTTTTAGTAAATTAAGCATGATTATTACGTAATTACGAGTTGCTCGAGGGACAGTGTGAGCGAACATATTATGAGTGATCTACGTGTCGTGCTGAAATTGTGACGGATGGATACATTTTTGTACAGAAGTGTTTTACTGTAGTGAAGAGTGAAGTGTCCATTCTGGTAGTGAAGAAATGGTTATTTAAAATGATGAAAGTTTGGCAAGATGTATAATTGAAGCAAAATAGAAATGGTAAATGGGTATTGGAACTAAAACTAAACTTTTGTTGACGATATTGGAATTAACAAGAGATCCCAGTTGTACGGGTATTAACAGTTATTTTCGACGTAATTTAGTAAGACATCTTATTACAAATAGAATGAATAATTATGAAACGAGGTCGTTGGGCCTAGTTAGTCACGTTGGACAAATTTCAATATACTATCATTTTCGTTTAAATTACACTAATCATTCTACATGTCAGATTCATAACAGCTTATATGAGGCCATAAACTTTTAGAGCACTTGTTTTCTAATTACTCTTACTAAGAAAATGATCTCAGATTTCTAAAGTTTTGCCTTTCTGTTACCAAATTGGATAAAATCACTTTATAAGCTACGACTCACTTTTCGTCGGGAAACTGCCTGTATTGGTCCTGGAGGTTCTCGCCTTCGGTCTGGCGCATGAGTAGGAAGTTCTTGACGGTGCCGAAAAAGGGGACCGGCGCCGGATGGGCTACCCCTCTCTTCTTCCAGAAATCGTAGTTCCATGTCAAGTACACGTACAGTAACCCCAGCAGCGCAGCGCCCCCGGCCACAAGCGCCGTCAACGCCGAGGTGGCCAGTCCGAGCAGAAGAGCCATTCTGGGGAGGAGAACTTTCTTAACTTATTGATGACGAAGTAACCTCGGCCTGGCGCTCGTAAATTTTGAACGCCCATGGACATTCTAGAATTATTAGAAACACATCAAAGAAACGAAAGTTGTTTGTAATAATTATAATTATAATAATAATAATAATAATAATAATAATAATAATTATTATTATTATAGTGGAAGTAATATTTATACCTAAAGCACATGTTGGAATTTTTTTCCAATTTCAGGAACTGATATTTTTTGTTTTCTACAAACGTGATATCGATTGAATGTTGACCCAGAAACAATTATTATACAGATAATAATGAAAGATATGGTTAAATTAAGGTCAATTTGAATCAAAAATTTGTATAAAAATAATTTGATAACGTAACCATTTTTATACTATTAATCTGACAAGAAAACAAAAGCATGTCATTCCTCTTCCAACATTATCAGTAAGCCACTGATCTATGAAATTTCTAAAAAAATGCACAAATCCAGTAAAACAAAAGATAAAATGTAGTTGTGAAATGAATAAGATCAATGTAATACATTTATCACTAATAAAGGCATTTTTCTATTTTCAGGAGAAGACTTTTTAATATTTTTATTTGTAATAAAATTGTAAAATAAACAAAAATATAATTATGATGCAATATTATAAACTCGGGAAAATTATAATATTAAATTATGTACGAAATTAAATACCTATATTAACATAGATCTATTTAAAAAAATAAGGAATCACAAAAATCAATGTAACAGTAATATTCTCAAGCGTCAATAACGAACGGAACATTATTTAGTAATTAAGAAATAGTTTTTGAATTCTTACTCTTTACGAGTATTTTTGCCAACGTTAATGAATCAACTCGCTATCGTGAGAACATAGAGAAGATCACTAACATGCAAACGAAGTTGCATAGTTTAAAGAACGTGGTTCTAGGCACATGTAATTACACATTTTTACCGGTAAAAATTACACGCATTAATATATTTTTGGAGTTTGCTAGATTTTGTCAATTAATTAAAACAAGTTTTTTTACATATATTTACACATTTTACTGCAATTACATATTGTACCCATTCCTATACAAGGTGGATCACATAAGTTGGTCATCGCAAATATCTTCAAAAAGGTTTGAGGTATCGAGATGCCATTTGCTCCATGATTTTGCGGATGGTGGGGCAAACAACATATACCGTTTTCTTGTGAGTACTGTATGCAATTTTACAGATATTGACATAACTTTGTTTTTTTTAAGTGGCCGTATCTATTTTACTCCATCATTCTGAAGTTCTTTAAAATGATATGCGATTATATAAATATTGTCAATACTCGAAAAGTATTTTTGAAAAAACAGTGCAATTAGGATAATAAATAAAGGATGTTGTCTGGTATCAATAATTAAAAAAAAACATTTAAAAGATATTGATACCAGAAAACATCCTTTATTTATCGTAATAATAGAAGGTATCTACCTCACCAGCGATCTAATGAATAAAGTGCAATTAGGACTGGATAAGTGCCATGTCGCAGCGCGCAAGGACAGCTGACCTTCCGCGCTGCTTCAAAATGTGCATCGCGATCGACGGCAAACACACAGAGCACGTGGCCTGAAAATAGTGAATTTATCTCTTAGCGACTTGTATAATCTCTTCCGAAATTCTACCGTTTTTAAACATTTTTAACAGAGGGCTGGAATATATTTGCACGATGAATACTTTGCTTGTTTTAGTAAATCATTCCGTTATTTGTTGTCTACGGCAGTAATGTGAAATAAATAAACAAGTTTATCAAGGGCGAACAGCTCTTTTAAAAGAAAATATTTAGTAAACCGTCAAATGTGGGCGTACGAAGTTAAAGTAGTTATTTCATTCTGAAGTAAACGAGATAAATGAAAAAAAACATTTCGATTAAAAATGTTTAATTTTACTCTCAACAATTTGAAATATTTTTAATTGGCCATTTATTTGCTTTTGTTTTACAGGAAATGGGAATTAATATCGCTTTCGGGGCAATGACTATCAACCGACTTCGCGAAGACTGTCATGGCCAAGTATCCGTTCACTCCAGAGTAATGTCTACAACCCTCACTTTTAAATGTGCAGTCAGTGCCTTCTGAATATTGGCAGTTCTTCTGGAGGCAATTCTCTCCAACTCGTTTATATAACGTACTGTTGATCTCGTCCGCAACCTTCCCAAGCTTGTTCTGTACGAAGGAGGGGGGAAGTAGCTCATTATATATTAAAAGAGGGTTCAAGAACCGATAACAAATGGCGATGATCATTCACTATTACATAATGGTATGCACAGTTCATAACGTGGAATGTCGTAACACGGTAACCATTATTTACACTTGAACACCATTCATCACTACACAATAACGTAACCATGTTTACGTCTTTAAGCCAAGAAGAAGAAGAAAAAGAAGAAGAAACAGAAGAAGAAGAAGAAGAAGAAAAAGGAAAAGAGAAAGAAAAAGAAGAAGAAGAAGAGGAAGAAGAAGAAGAAGAAGAAAGAAGAAGAAGAAGAAGAAGAGGAAGATGAAGAGGAAGAAAATGAAGAGGAAGAAGAAAAAGAAGCAGAAGGAGAGGAAGAAGAAGAAGAGGAAGAAGAAGAGGAAGAAGAAGAGGAAGAAGAAGAAGAGGAAGAAGAAGAAGAGGAAGAAGAAGAAGAAGAGGAAGAAGAGGAAGAAGAAAGCGTATCCTCTATATCGAACGCCATGTGCGTGGCGATGCACTTACTTGTTACGTCACGTGCGCCGGTGTCGCTCTCGCGCGTCGTCGGCTGACTGGCGTCTCGACTGCGAGCGCGTTTGTTTTTATCGTTCTCGGATTGCGACGAGCGACGACCGCGACTCCAGGAAGAACGGGTCATGGTCCAACATGACTTGCGGTTGCGAGCGGCGTGCCTGCTGGAGGCCGCTCCACCGCTGCCGACCCCGCCCCCTTTTCCCCAGGAGATTCCTAGTAAATTGGTGCCCACCAGATCAAGAGTTTTCCTCACCGACGTGTTGCGTGAGGCGCTTCCAGTGTGGTTAGTCGTAATCAGTTGTAATGACTGATAGGCGGAAAAGAGAATGCTGAGTAATGATGATACACCCAAGAATATTACTGGCTCATGGTGAGGATGCAGGGATTTGAAGCGGTCTTGAAAACAGGCAAAAGTAAGCAAACACTGTTATTGGTTGCTATTGGTTCGTCGTTGCAAACACATATTTCACCTTTGTATGATATCGTTTGCTTTTGAATTGAAAATATATAAACGGTCAGAAAAAGATGAATGTGAGCTATTTTTGGCACCCCATTGGTAAATGTGTGTTTACATAATAGTGAATAGAGTATGTAACTTCTAAGAGATTTGAGTTTTATGTGTGTAATAACAAACAATCAACAAGTGAACATAATAGCTGAATAAGATCACTATATGCTAATCACCTAATGCTAATATACCTGATAATTAAATAATAATTATAATCAGACTAAAACTATTAATCGCAAGTATTGTCTCTTGTTAATCAGATCTGACATTTTTTTATAAAACTAATAAAACTAAATATTTCATATTTAGATGTTATTTCACAAACAAATAATCTGGTAATGATAAATAGCGGAAACATTCTTTCTGGAGAATTAGGAATGGTGTCATGAATGTGAAGCGAAAAAAATAACAAAACTAGTGGTGCTACAGCAGCATATACTTTCTCGCATTATTTATCATGGCTTTGCAATATTATACTACTGCATGACCAAGCAAAAGTGTTTCCAACCTGCAATTTTATGTTTCTCAACGAGACTTGAACTCAAGACCACTGAGTTAATTTGTCGTACGCTTTACCGCTTCACCATGCACTCTTATTTTCAACGCGCAATTTTTGAAAAATCAGAGAAAAATCATGTTTTTTTATAAATATTGCATTAGTTTAAAGCAGATACGACGCGAAAACTACTCATTTTTAAAAACGCACATGAACCTTTTTCAAGAGCTAATATTTTACAACAAATTTTTTTAAGGCGAAACGACAAACAATCTATCAAAAATTTTGTAGTTTTGAAATGTTAACATTTTTTTCTATTTTCTAAAATACATTGAGTTCACAGAAAATGAGACCAGAGCGAATTTTTTATATGATACACACGAAGAGAAAATTAAAAAAAATTGGAACGGTTTTTTTAAATATATTTAAAAATTATCTGTATTTCACTCACAATTTTTAATGCAGCTGCAAATTATTGTTTTCTAATTTTCGAGTGTGTCCTCAAATTTATTTTTCATGTCCAATAGCAAATTTAATATGAGATGATTTGAATCGTATTTCGTTGATTCACCATCTTGTTGTGTTGACGCCCCTACATTTTGGGATGGTCCCATTTCAGAGGCTTCATAAAGAGTTAATTTTCATTAGTTGCATCGCCATGGCTAACAATATTCCCCTCAAATTCTTCCCTCCCCGACGCAGATATTGTTTCCTCATCAATAGTAGTAATTGCATTTCTTGCTGTGAATTTCCATTATTTCTACTTACCCAAAGTCTAAGCAACACATAAAATGGTGTACAAGTGTATTTGAGGTTTTCAATGCCACGTTTAGTGCACATATAGTACTTTTATTTCGTACAGCTCTCCCTATTGTGTGATGTAATCGCTCTGGTTCAGCTAGTAAGTATTAATAGGTTAACACCACGTTAAATCATGCATGTCAAGGTCACAGGCAAGGTAACAAGCTTACTAGAGCGGGCACTGTTTCTTGAGAAATTGGCTCAAATTTTAAAAGTAAGGGTTACGGAAAGGCGGTACGTAACTGGATATCAGGCCCATGACAGTCTATGGGAGGCGTTACTTGATAGTTCTTGTCACAAATTTAGCTATATTAATTCCTATTTTATCTTTAAGGTAAGAAATGATTCATTAAAATGAAATAATGCATCAGTTCGATTTTATATTCTCAATTGAGAGTGAAATATAAAAAGAAAATTAATCAAAAGTATCTTGATTATGTAATCCTGTATACTGAAGAGTGATTTAAGACTGTCAACTTCCTACGTTTATATTAGATGATTTAACAGACAAATATTCTTGTCTCTCAAAAAACGCTGTCCGTTCGTTAGCGATAATTGTTAACTTATAGAGGCTTGTTAATTTATTTCATATTATTACTATATACTGCCCGTAGGAGCGCCGGGCTCCTCAGACGGGAAAGTAGTTTGACGTGCCTGCGTCAAAGCAGCCATAAATACAATACCACAGCACAGGCGGCCAGCTTACGTTTGTTTCTTGACGTCGTTTATGCATAACTAAAAAATGGCGCGTTTTAGATTTTTTTCAGTCAAAAATCTCGTGCTTTCTTCCTCACGCCATAATCTATATAATTAGATATATTGGTCCCAGTACCACATTTTAGGGGAAGTGTTGTTCTGGCTATCTCCACCATTTGCGGAAGGTGAGGCGCGAGGAATAACTAATTTTATTAAAATATGTTTCGCTAAAATTTTTTCCGCTCATACGGATGTGGGAGAAACGTGGGTGTGGTGCTTGCGAAAGTTCACGCAAAAGTACGCTTGTTTAAATGTAACTTTGAAAGTTAAGTATTGAACGACACGCTGCTGATAACACAAAATGACATTTACATATTGATCTTACACTTCGGCCTTAATCTCGCTTCTCTACCTCTTACTGCGTCTGTTACCAGATTTTATTGATCTCTTTATGTAAAATTACGCTTGTATTATTCTCAAGTCAAAGTAAATCATATTTTATAGGCTTGAATATTAAAAGAAAGGGAACTATTTCTTGATAATTATGATTTACTCAAGTAGAAATTTCATTACGACACGATTTAACACATGAGTTGAGAGAACTGAGAGAAATAAGTAGTGACAACTTTCTTTTGTGTGCCTGTGTTATTCAATTATTGACGATTAAACTGTGAATTGGAAGATTTAATCACTTCAGAGCAAAACCACATTACGAAATTTGTATCTAAGTCTACTGCTGATCAGTTACTGTTCTATAGCGTTAGAAATTCGCAGTGTTGCTTCACTCTCTTCGTCAACATTTTTTTTCAATATTTCACCTATTTTTTCTGTCTCGTACTTTCCCCTTCCTTTCACCCGCCTCCACGAGGGAAGCGGGTCGGGCAAGAGAATTACCACGCCATTCATCACAACACGTCCATTACCCGTCGAGGAAATTGAATGTATAATATATAATGAATAACGTGGGCTTGTCGCTCATATGTGCGCGAGCGCAGGCGTTGATGGCAGAGTGAAGGGGGCGGTGAGATGGCAATGGAAGTGGCAGCGATGGCGTTGGTGTTAAATGTAGGTGGGGGCGGTAGGTTGCATTGGTGGCGAGGGTTGTGGTGACTGTCGAGGTATCCATGGTAGTTGCAGAAACAGCAGTAGGCTGAAATTGCAGCCAGAAATGTGCCATTCCGGTTCCAGAAACGGAACGGGTAGAGCTGAACATAATACCAAACTATGAAAGCAATGATGATTGTTATAAGGTGAGCTTGTTTAGGAGAACGTAGTTAGCGTGAGAGAGAAGGTAGGAAGTAAGAGAGCGAGGATGCAGTCTGCTAAAGGGATAGTGTTGGAAATTACGCAAAGTAGGGGGTAACGACATGGAAGATGATATAATATTGAAAGCAGTTGAGGGCTGCAGGAATGGTGCTGATGTTGAAAGTGAAGTCAGATGGTATATATGTGTTATAAGGTAACGTATAATACAGTAATGACACTGCTGAGGACTATGCAGAAAGGGATCCACAGCAGAGAATATGACAATACGCCACGTGCGACACTGACGACAACGGCCAGAGTGGATTGTGACGAAGGCAGAAACAGGAAGAGGACGTGTGTGGCATAGGAGGTGGTGGCCACGAAACGGGTATTGATGACTACAGTATGAGAGAGGATGGAGAATAGGTGGTGATAGTGACGGCACGGATTATGGCTACGGCGTGATGGGTATTGGTGGTGACAGTGACGACACAACTGATGATGGCGTCATTGGGGACGATGTACACATGATTGGTGACCTGAATGGCATC